AAATTATTAACCGCCATGTAAAATTACCTGCTGTTCACATTTAGGGCAGCCTTTACTGATTGTTTTAGTCTTTGCCATATTACGGAAAAATATTTAATAAAGATAAAGGTTATTTACAATTAAAAAATACGACTAAGAAACTATATCGTTAAACCATATCGCCAAATAATGACATCACAGCACAAAAATAGTTTTTATATCGATGTAGATACATTTTAGAAACACTCACTGTAACGTTAAATGTTTTTTGCTTCTCCTAACATCACGCTAATAAGTAATGACAGCCGTAATGTACAAAAAGAACACAATAGGAAATAATTCGTACTCCAATTGACAGATGGCAGTGAAAGTCAATTAGGAGAATGGACCAATCGCGGAATTGAGTTCCCTCCATTGTGAAACGTGTTTTCGTTATTTACTTACATTTGTGTGTTAAGTTTCATGATAAGAGAGAATTCACGTATGTAGACTTCCTAAATCTTCTCTCTTTTAATAACCTTTCGATTGTTTTTTCAAGTACAGGTGTGTTGTACATTTTAATGAATGAAGTGGTGAATAAACGTTGGAAGCTTGAAATGTTTCTTAGAATTTAGCAAGAAGCAAATGATAAACGATAGGTAGCTACATTTTCGTACCTCTCATATCTTTACGTGCATTATATTGTATTAATACATCAAAAGAAAGTTCATTCAATTTGTATTTATTCTTTTGAAGTTTATAATAACTGGAGCTATTAAAATTATATTTTTCACAATGTTCACTATCTCTATCACCTAATTGATATTTCACTAAATATTAATATCAAATGGAAACTCATTATTATCTTAACATTGTACATATTAGTAAATTTTTATATTCATGTTAATCAAGGAATTAATGATGTTCTTTTCATATGGTTTCCTATTATCCATCTGTAAATTTCAGTTCAAATTTTGTTAGGTTATGATGTATCCTTTTAATTTTCACCTTAGATGTATCTCATAGTCCTTGAAATAATTATTTAATCTTTTAAGTTCTAATCTAACACTTGTTACTTTGAGACATTGAACTTTATTATTAAGTTAAGATTTGTTGATAATATCTCAAAAGCTTATATTGTATCTGAAGCATGGCTATGTTATAAACTGAATATCTGAAAATACCTAACCAATATTAAAATTTGATTTTCAAGATAATTAAGACATTTTAATATCATTAAAAGGTACTCCAATTTGTATAATTCTATTTTTATCATCTACATGAATTGATAAATACTTCCTCAATGGATAATAAACTGATGAAAGTACATTTCTAATTAATATTTTGATTTTATCTTATTTTGTTTTTTCATTTCCTCTTGAGACTCTTCAGTATAAAATTTAATTCAATTGATTACTTATGTTTCGAAATACATCATTTTAATGTAAAAATATTCCTTTTTTTAGTATTTATTTTTGTAAGCCTGATGTTAAAGTAATATAATTATTTTTTCGTACATTTTTTTTTCATTTTTCGGCGATGATGCGCAATTACTTAAAAAATAGATTTTTCTAGAACGGTTTTCTTATCGCACATAATGTTTTTCTATTTCGTTCAATGATATCAAGAGGCTCAAGTGAGAAGAATGTTCCCCCCCATCGCCCGAATTGTCGGCAATCTTAAACGTATTTATTTCATGAACAAATAACTCTTGAGAGCATTATTTTTTAACTGTCAACTATGTATGTCCCTACAGTATAAAGTTTTATACTTTTTTTCAACTTTTACGAACACTACATGACAACTAATTTTGTTCCAGCGTCAAATTCAATAAGTTACATTCTTGTCGATTAAATTAGGATTATCTTTTAACTGTGAAAACGCTAGCAATTCGTTAGACTTTTCGTTTGTAATCAACGAACTAAAAAGATAATCGCCTGGCTTAATTCCCCGTTATTGACTTTATCATACGGTTCCATGAGTTAATTTTTAAAACGATGTCACACATTTTCTATAGTTGTATTTTTCCACGCCGTTTACATTATTCTGTACTTCAGTGTCGCCTTGTTCCTTCTCGATTTCCTCGCGCGAATTAATGTCCCAGCACTCATGACGGCCTTACCTTTTTTACCGACCGTGGAATAAAAAATATTATTACACATCCTATTCGGATGACAGTTTCGATTGGTACATATTCTTTTCTTTCCGATTTTTAAAGCCTGCTCATTCAAGGTATCTGTAGATGATACACAACGAGCCCAACTAGTTCTCAATTTCTTCCTCCGATATATGCCTCTTATCAGAGTAGTATTCAACCGTCGTATAAAAGTTAATGAAGTCACTGACAATTTATCTTGGGCCGTGACATTAAAACCGACATTTCCAATGTTATCGGATATGTCCGCATATTCTCCACTGTCTGATACGGAATACCACATAGTTTTATCAGATTTTGAGCATGGAAATTGTGTAACTCCAATTTCTTCATTATAGCACATCGTGGAATCATTGATTTTATTTTTCTTATTTTTACACCCCTTTATAGTACCACAATAATAATCTCGCGGTACTTCTTTATCGTATTTTTTATTTAGTGTTTTGCTGTCAGGAAATGACTGAGTATATTGGCTAACGTTTTGAACGTCCTTCTGTATTTCTTCAACCTTCATTTCCTCAGTTTCTTTTTTCAACCTATCATCGCAATTATTTTCTCCCAAGAATTCATGACTGTCTCTTTTTGCCACATCATTTCTCCATTTAACAATCGTCGAATGTGACGTTCGTTCAAGGCCTCGTTTAGAAACGTGCCTTTTGTTTTCCACGCACGTGCAACCGCATTTCTTGGAACCTCGAACGATATTCCTTCGTCTTCGTGTAGTGGAATATTTTGTAACACAATCCCTGCTCCTATTTCGTTCTTTCTCCATCTTATTCGAGGGTTTCTTGCAGATGTAAGAACGAGTCTTTCGACCGGCATCATTCGCATGAATCGGCGCGATCTTCAGATAAGAACTGTTACAGCGATAACACATTAGTTTCAGCTCTTGCTTAGAGACAATGGTGCTCTTCGTTTTAATACGATGACCTATTCGGTTTAATTCCTCAAACCGTTTTCTTGCCTTTTGCATGCAAGTACAAAACTTCAGCTTCGTGTATTTGCAAATGCTTTTGCGTTTCAAAAATCTTGGATCTGACGTACAGAAACTTATCGTCTTTGGCACAGACTTTACTTTTTTCGTACTACTTTTACAATAAACATTCTCACAATCCTGACACAACACACGGTTTGATAGATTTACACCTCTTAATGGGTTCACGAAATTGGAACAATATCTAATATTTGGAATCATATAATTTTGTAACATGCAATTGCAACAGACAATATTAGGGTACCTTTGAGTATTTGCTTCAATATGACTCTTGTGAAGTGAGTCTTTTACTTGTTCAACTTTGTCTTCCATAGTTAGAGATGTTTGTATAGCCTCATTTATTGTTTCGATCGGAACAGATGGAATATTCTTTTTAACGATCGTTTCATTTGACTTTTTTCTGCGTTTTTTTGGTAAAAATTGCTTTTTTTCATCTAATTTTTCTGTTTTGTGAATCACAGACTTACTACTACTATAGTTACTTGCTTTTCTATTCGCAATGATTTCTCGAGTTTTACGAACAGTCTTTTTTAATTCTACATTATCACTAAAATCGTCCTTAAGTATTTTTCTGCTGCTTTTTTTATCAAATAATAATTGTGCATTTTTATTAAGCGGTAACTGCCTAACGTGTTTACTGTTCTTAATTCCCTTCAAATTGTCTTCGTACATTTGAAGCACTTCTGGTTGAATTAGCGGGAAATTTGATTCCCTGTGTCCTGTTTGAGGCGCATCTTTTTTACTGTCAACATGATCTTTATTAAATGGACACTTTACACTGCATTCTATTTCTGCCTCGTCGTCTCCGTCGTAAATATACGCAATTTGCGTAGAAATATTTTTTCTGCGAAGAGATCGCCGCCGTAAACATTTAATAGGTTGGCTCTGATGAAGAGACCTACTTTTCCATGGATCAGGAATTCCTTGTATGAAAGGTAAACCTATGTCGTTCCATAGCCTATTAGTGGCGAGACATCTAACGCAAGAAGGTATCAAATACTTTTGTAATACGTATGCTTCTGCCGTACCACAAAGTCCTTTCATGGCTAAGTATTCCCTCCAAGTGTCAGGAATACCGTGACGTACAATGCAATTACTTTTTGCATATTTGGCTTCTCGTTGGCAAGATGAATATGAGACACGCGGTTGTACTGTTAATAATCTAGGTGATGAAAATGGTCCACGTACTACCTCTTGTATATTGAGATACTTATTTTCTTGGATTCGTTTTGGAGACATCCATTCTTGGGTCCATTCAGTGTCGACTTTAAAATTATTCGCTTCCTTTCCTTGCATGCTTTGGCTAAGCTCAGTATTGTGTTACAGCAAATAGAACATGAATCGCGTAAAAAATGAATTATGTTTTGTAAAATTTTTAGTGTTCGTATGACAGCATTAGAATATATATCCAGAAAAAGTAAGTTTTTTGCTAGTTGGTCACATTGTGTAATTCTAATAATTCGTAAAATAATTGCAAAACGTTCATCAACGTGTTACGAAACGGTAATCTTACAAATTGATTTATGTATAATTACAGTTATGTAACCGTTCCTTCGGGTTATTTCAGATATTATTAGAAATCTACTTTAAAGTATATAATTATTCAAGTTTTATAGATAATTTTTCTTAAAACGCCATTTTGCATAATGTTGATTTCACATACAACCAAGTTCAATAATTTTTACAATTTGTAAGTTATCAAATTAGAAACAAATATATTGCATGGTTAATTATTATTTAAGGAAAATTAAACTAATCGAAAAAGATTTGATTTTTTAATTCAAGGATTAATTTGCAACACGGAATTCGTTCTTGCTATTATTTGTTCCCAGGTTAAAGCAGGGCTACCAGTATCGCATACTACCGACATCTAGACTACTGTATACTTCAAGGTAAAATCGATTATTTCAGAGGAGTATTGTGCGAAGTGATGAAATTGTTGGTGCGGTGTCGATGTTAACTCGCAAATAAACACGATGTCTCTGCTACGATCGTTGCCTTCGGGACTCAACCGAACCTCAAAATTAATATCTCGAAGTGTTCCAGCTGTATCTTATCACCCAAATGTAGGTATCTATCTCCTTGATTTGCGGCGTTAATCGTAGGCCAGTGGTGACGGTTGTCTTGCGTTAGTTTTAGCAATTAATATCGAATAGTTGTGTCTATTATTAGAATATATACGTAGAAAATTTGACCTTTATACACGATCTTCATATGATTATGCTTCAAGAAGTGCCTTTTTGTAAATATGACAATAAAAATTTCGTACTAATATCGCAGTAATGTTTAGATTATGTTTATCTCTTATCTGATAATTTTGATTTCTAAACGTCATTAGTATATATATGTTCTTTTATTATTTCACAATTGTTCAAAGTGGTTTCTTTTTAACAAAATAAACGCGTTAAGTATTGATTGTGAAAAATATTTTGTTGTAAGTTTATTTTTATTATTTTACAGGTTATAGATCATTATGAAAATCCAAGAAATGTTGGTTCTTTGGATAAAAATGACTCCCATGTTGGTACAGGTATTGTAGGAGCACCAGCCTGTGGAGATGTAATGAAGCTTCAAATTAAAGTTGATGAGAAAGGAAAAATCATTGATGCTAAATTTAAAACTTTTGGTTGCGGTTCTGCTATTGCTTCAAGTTCTTTAGCTACAGAGTGGGTTAAAGGGAAAACTGTAAGTATTATTATACTAGTGTGAATATATGTAACTGATTCGATTTTGGAATTTGGATATTAAATTGATTTACAGGTTGATGAAGCATTGGCACTAAAAAATACTGACATTGCTAAAGAATTATGTTTACCACCTGTCAAACTGCACTGTTCAAGTAAGTAATGTTTATTACAAACTTTAACATTCAAGGATTTTTTATAAATTAAAAGTTGTAGAGTATAAGTAAAAAACTTTTGAATATAATTATTATATATTAGAAGTACAAAATTTAACTTTTTCCTTTTGTATATTGTAGTGCTTGCAGAAGATGCAATTAAGGCTGCTTTGTCAGATTACAGTATTAAACAAAAGCAAAAATTGACAGGCAATAAGAGCCAAGAAAGTGGTTAAAGTAAAACATGATTCTGATGTATTTCAAATAATAGTGAGAAATATTTGTTAATGAAAATGAAAATAGTTTTTTAATATTAGCAGTCAAACACTTCATACTTCATAATTTTTACTAATTATGAACTGTGATCAATATAAACAGATATATTGTATCCCAAAGTATATACATTTTATGTAGAAGCACTTTGCTATGTGCAGTTCTCTTTCAAAAAATAAAATAAATATATCTAACTAAACAAATATTTCAATTAGGAAATTTATTTACATATCAATGTTATTGTCAACCAATTTATCATTATTTCCGATATCATCAAATCATTGCATGAAATATTAATTCTATCATTGTTAAGTTCTTGGTAAATTTATTATCTTATTTTCACGTCAATCAACCTTTGACTTCTTGGTGAATGTTTTTACAACACAACTGGTACTTATTAGAACAATATACGAACATATAAAGCAGTGTGTCGTCACAACAAACATTTTTCTTGACACAAATGCACATCATAAATGAAGTATTTTAGTGGTAATTTAAACTGTTGACAGAAATATTTCTATTTGTACTTGTTTTTACGCGAATCCATTGCGCCATCAACGAACATGTAGTAACGTAATCAAAGGATGTAAGAGGGGAGCACAAAGGGAGATACTTTTTATCGATATACATCATTTCTTTAATGATCACCGTTGTACAAATCATTATAAATTTTATTTTTGTAACTTTCGTTGTACATAAAAAAATTTTGTGTAAATATTTCTTATCATTTTTGTATAATATTACAGGATAAAGAGCTATACTAAAAAAATTGTATTTAATAACATACCATTCAAGCAGAACTATATTTTCGTATGAATAAAGTTTCTGATTAAAATATTCAGTGATTCAGCACATCCTGTTGCATCTGTCCTTTGATATTCCTGCAGAAATATCTTTCGCCGCATTTGGTATATAATGATCAGCGTACAATGAGAAATGTTATAGCGCTGAGGCATTGTAATTTCCTCATAGCCATAATGCCCGATCAAATATTTACTCTCATTCCTGTATCTTTATCCTCATAGTGGAATTACATACATTCCCAGCGAACGATTTCCAAGAATAAGACTTCAATTCAGTCGATTAAAATGGATACCCTTTGGATGCACGCATATGAATTCGAGAAGTCGAGACGGATCGGTGACTGGTCGTGCATCCCTCTTATAACTGTCATCGCAACACCAATTGATGCTTAATAAGAGCAAATATAGACTGAGTCATGTGTAGTTACTGCTATCAATTGCGCGTTTCAAGTTAATTCGCAAAGAGGAACAATTAGTTCGTTATTTGTAATTTACATTGTTTATGGCTTTTCATGACCGCTTGTAATAATTCTGACGTCTTCGATTGAGAGGTATCTTTCTTATCTACCCAACATAGATATCCATTCCCGTCATTTTTCTCGCTATTTTTTTTGGCCAATAAATCGAACTATGTATTGAACGAGATCGATAAGATCAAATCTCTATGGTGATTTTCATCTTATTTGGACATATTATAAAATGCACAATTATATATAATAATTGTAATTACATAATGAGAAGATATGTATTTTCGATTGGGAATACTTCGAACTGGCTTATCGGAATATTTTATAGATTTAGTACAGATCTGTTATGCGTATGACAAATATATCAATGTATACATTGTCACGTATACGTTCTATATAACGCGTGATAAAAATGAAGTGTGCAACTTTGTGTACTCGAAAAAAAAGTGGAGCGTCCGGTTTGATTAAAAAAATTTACTTGATGACGAGTTATCTGAGAATTTGCTTGAAAAATTTATTTTTGAAACATGATGCACATTATATTCAATGATACATATAAATTAGTATTCTTAATTGAAAAATGTACTAGCTAAACAATAAGTAGGGTAAAATATTAACAATATAATGGCAAATTACATGAATTATAATTTTGAAAGTTATAGTGACGTGAAAGTGTTCATTATAACAATATCTATGTATGATATTTTCACTTTTCTGGGAATAGAACTAATGCCCACTGAGAGGATTGTGTTGTATGTGCGCTATCACAAATATTTCGTTCTAATTCCCTGAACACTCATCGTCAAATGTACGCACAATGGTTTCTCTGACAAACATGTGATGTCAGGAATTTGCGATATGACTGAAATGATAGAATCTCACTTTTCTACCTAACCATGTAGTGACACTGCGTGAAGAGTATTTACATAGAGATCCAGCTAATATTTATTCTACTGTACATGCAAATTATATCATTTATATTACTGAACACTATTCTTTATTATATATTACATAATAATATGCAATATGTACTTTTCCTATTACCATTCAATTTTATTTTAAAAATTAAAAAATTATCACAGAGGAAGAGATTACAATGTGCGTAATGCATATTGTTGTGAATATTAAATAAATTTTATAATCTATTAATTTTTACATAAACATTTTAAAAACTTTTTGAAAAGTAGCGCAAGGATGCGTAAGTCCTATAAATCAGTTCCTTGGAAATGTTCGAAAGGAAACGTTGGGATAATGGTTTTTCAAGAGGTGAGTAAACTCACTGATTAGTCACCACGAAAATTTACCTTCTTACGATAAGCTGAAATGTAGTTCTCTTATACGCGCGCCCGGTTGATAGCAAACAAAATTTGTCATGATCGCCACTCAATATATATCGAGCACGAGGCTTATCTTCGTACGCTCCGGGGCTTGTTTTTCCTACCTCGATTTCTCTATTCCAAAGTGGGACACATTGAGCCTGAGCCCGCGCGCGCGCGTTACAAATATTAAATTCGTACGGCATCCGCCGCGCAACGGAGGACAAAATCCTACGTTTGGCCCGTGTGTGTGCGCGCAGGCTATGCCTGTAATTGCACGCCATCGCAAATTTTCCATTCTCTTATTCCTTGGTTCGTCTTCCTTGCTACGCGAGCTCGACCTACGTGAAGGTATAATAGAGTAAGAGGGTTTTGTCGATGGAGAAAGGACAGCACACAGAGAGAACTGTATACCATTTAAAAAGAGTGGGAGAAAATCGACAGAACACCACACCGGAGGGAAGACTGAAAACGGGAGGACGTATGGACATGGTGGGAGACAGGATGAAGTAGTGGTAAACGGCCCTGCGTGATACACAGCTGATCAGTCGTTCCGCGACGGACAAGTTGTTTTGGTGCCGTTACGGGTTATCCGAGTGTGAAATCGATGGTTTTCTGTCGAGGGGGATATGATAGAGTGAACCGTGGTTAGAAATTCTGATATACATGCGATTGTTTATGTGCTCTATGCAATTTGACAGAGCGTTGAAAGAAAGAGGCACGGACGGAGGTGTAACCCTGGTGAAACAGCTCGTAACATCGGCGCATTGCGGGTTGCCATCGTTGGCGTCGGGTCACTCGCAGCGCGGCGAATATTTTCCTCTTTTTCGAAGCAAATCGTTCACGCGACCAGGGTCTATGACCAGTTCACGGGACGCGGTTTATCGGAGGAATAGAAGAAACTACTGTGGCGTAGGTGTAACCGACAGCAGCATCAAATTGAAATCGTTGATGAAGTCCGAGGCCATTGGAGAGGAGGACACAACTGCCGATCCTGCAGTTTGTGAACATTGATACTGGTGCACTCATAGGTCACGACGATATCTATTTTGTGTCGTATTTTGGTGCACTATCAGGATCTTGTATTCTGTCTTTCTCTTTCTCTTTTTCCCTTCGTTGTTTCGTTGCATTTTAATTAGCTTCGCTCGCCGACGGCAGCGATACGCATGGTGGTCATTGCGTTAGATTTTCTTTCTTCATAGTGAACCCAGCCAATTGGTTTCGCTTTTCCTTTGTATAATTACGTGTATATATATACGTATACGTGTGCATGAGTGTATATGTGCGCGCGCGCCAGTGTGAACGTGAAATAAAAGGTCGATGACAATGCAACGAGTCCAAGATCAAGACAATGGAATCAACATCAAATTTGGTGGAAACGAGAACACGAAGGGCAGCTACACGCTCGTGTCGCAGAACTCCGAAAATGAGAAGAAAAGTAACTTAAATGGGACCAATAAGCAAGGTAAATTGATCGTATTCATGAATCCACTTTCGTTTTTCGTTGTTTTATGAAAGGATCAACGCACGTTAGCTGATCGTCCCTATTTTATTTTTCGGGTAAACACAGAGGAAACGCAACGACGACTCGCGGCGATTTTTCGAACCGCTTCGCGTTATTCGCTTTTCTTCCATGGCTAAAAATATGTTGTACGACCGTGAAAATTTAAAATTCTCTCGATAAATTCTAATAATAATATAGATCCGCTCGTTCAAAAGTGCTACCGTTTATTTTTTTCGAACGATGTAGTGCAGAATTTTAAATAAAAAAAGAGTGATGTTTCCTAAGAATGGTAGAAGGTTTTCTAACTTAAAAGTGTTTTAAGATTCCCTCAGTTAAAAATTTCAATCTCTAATTGAATATTTAATAATATTTAAAAGATAAAAATTAAACTATTTGTGCAATATAATGTATGTTTTAGATTATTTGTTTGTATCATAAAGTATGTTGAAACAATTAATGTGAACTTAGTAAGATAATATAGTATGGTATATCATCAATGATTCTTTTCTTTTTATAGTTAAACATGTAACAACTGAAGAAGAATTAGTTCCACCAGATGGAGGATGGGGGTGGCTTGTGCTTTTAGCATCTGTTATGGTTAATCTTTTAATCCCAGGCACAGTGAAATCTTTTGGTGTTTTATTTGTTGAATTTCTTGAAGTTTTCAATGCATCACCTGCTGCAGCTGCTTGGATACCAGCTTTATGCTATTTCCTTTATAGTTCACTTGGTAAGATACATTTCTTTTATAATATCACTTTTCAAATAAAACTAATTTCTCATTAAATTTATGAAATTATAAGCCCATAATCCATAAAGGATCACAATTTGTTTTATAGGACCCCTATCCAGTATACTATCAGTTAAATATTCCTATCGAACAGTAACTTTGTTAGGAGGAACATTTGCTGCTGCAGGAATGATGCTGAGTTATTTTGCAAATTCTGTGGCCTTCTTATGTGTTAGGTAATTATATATCTATTAAGAAGAAAGAGAGATTGTTTACATTTTTTATTTGATATACAAGTTTATAATGTTATTCTTTGTTCTGTTGTTAGTTATGGTGTCCTGGTAGGAACAGGGGCAGGTTTGGCTTTCCCTCCAACTGTGTATATAGTAACTTCATACTTTGTTCGGCTACGTGGACTTGCAAATGGACTCTGCATATCTGGTAGTGCATTAGGTTCAATATTTCTTCCACCTGTCCTAGGGGTTCTTCTGAGAGAATATGGTTACAGGTACGTATTTTTATTATATTTATAAAGTGCAGCAAGTATGGCTTTACTATGTTGATAAAAATTCAATTTATGGTTGCTAAGAAATTATAGACCAAAAATCTACCATGAATAACTAAAATGAAAGATTAAAATTTCATTTTTATTTTGATACAGCATTTATTTAACAATATTTCATTTAGTGAATTGATGCAACAGTATAATAATTTATTAATATTTTACATATGTTTATATCTGACTTTTTTTTAAGTAAATGATATAATCAATTAAAATATGCTTTAACACGTTCATTTTAATTTTGACAAAATTTAATGTATCTGTGATTCGTGAGCTTGATTTGTCCAATTTTTATGTAATTTGTGACACTGAGAGTGTCATAAAAAAAAGAAAAAAAAATACGAGACGTTTGTGTATTATCACGGCATCTTCTCGTTCTCGTGAAGATCTGTAAATAAAGTGTTATTGTCGTAGAAAGTTCGTATATATTTTGTGAAGATTATTTTTGGTGAGTATTTATACATCATTATTACAATTAATTAAATGTGACGACGATCGATCATGCATGTGCATAGCTCCTTTCACGAGATGCTCAGATCAACCACACGCGTGCATTTGTGTACACAACGTTATTGTACATCTCTGCAAAATTTACAACATCTGTAGCTGTTTTAGAATCTCTTTATCAAACGTGTTGTCATTAAAGATAACGAAAATTAACTATTTGACACACGCACGGTAATGTATATACACACACGTGTAAAGAAATAATTTAATAATTGGTTGTTAAAGAGACGATAGGCTCGCGACCAATTAACATTATTTTAATTTTTAAAAAGTACAGAAATATTATCTATATACTAACCCCGAAGTCTGCATGTGAAAAACGGCACTTGACGCATCTCACGTGGTTTAGGTAAGAATGATATATTCCGTATATATATATACGTTTTTGTGTTTCATGTCCTCGTACTTTAATGGTCGAAATTGTCTACCACGCTTCCTACCTTACCAACAATTATCATGAGTAATATATGTGTTTTAACGCTTGATTTTAAATTAGACACAACTGCACCGTGACTGCGATAAAAAGGGACGAAATAAATATGGGCCAGTATTATTACCATCTATTGTGACGACTTTCCTCCATGATGATAAAGACGAGTTCCCTGGCCGGGCGGTTATTTAAAGACCTGGATGCGATCTTTGTGTCGTGAAATTGCAATTTGCTTCAGATACTTATCGTCAGTGCAAACGATACAAGCATCTGTTTTATTCTTGCACAACTAAGTATTAGCATTGAAGTATGTTAACAATCGTTCTAGCATATAAAGTATATAACTTGTTTTGTTTGAAATACATATATGTGCACATGGAAAGATAAAGTTATTATCTTGCGTTTCTTTTAAAACAAAGCATCATTCGAATTCTCGTCGAAATAGGAAGGAAGAGGGGAAAAGAATACCCGATGAATAGTTAAGGAGGAGGGAATGTAATTGCACGTGTCGTGTCTTTTTTTATTGTGTGTGCACACGTAATAATCACGACCGTGTGAGAAGCACGGAAACGTACGATTTGACGTTGAAGAACTTGTAGATTTTCAAGTGTGCGCATTATAATGCCGCAAATGCGTGATACTCACGTGTTTGGTGTTAACGTGTCGTAAATGCAAAAATGGAATTAAGATAACTCCGCAATTTTTATCCATTTCGTATTAGACATAGGAAAAAAAATGGTCGTTCATCCGAAAAAAAAAGTGTTTATCAATTTTTGATTCCAGTTATACGTTATTTTTATTTCACGAACACGAAATATAGTAAACTTGTTTTTTCCTTCTTTGGTCTCATGAATATGCAATTTATGTAGGTAATACGTTATCGATTGAACATGTGAATAGATCGTTGTATTTTCTTTATCAAACGATATTAACAAGTCCAAGTGCAAATTAGTTTAATAAATCATGATGCTGCATCGAATGTAAGTCAGTCTCAAACATGCATTTCGTGTTTTTTTCTTTCCATTTTTTTTATTAGGTTATCTTTTTTAGTATTTTTTTTTATTTTCTCAAAGTTTTCCTTTGCAGCGACACGAGGCAGCAGCCGTATTGTGTCGAAAAATCGCTTTTGCGCCAACCGAGAACGCTTTACCGGTTAATCGAGTTGGTCGATTCTAACGCGTGTATCGAAAACAAAATTCTAATCACTGCCGAATGCAAATGTGGAATATCGTTATGCGTAACGAGTATCGAAAGCGTAAACGTACCTTTTTCATATTCTATATCTATGTATAGTATATGTATATGCTGCTACTACTACTACTATTCTACTACTACTACTATTCTACTACTACTACTACTACTACTACACCGATAGATATAAGCTAGAACGTTACCGCCCATCTAAGCGTCCCTTTTATTTTTTCTTTTGTTGCAGAAGAATGTGTTCCATGGAAGAAGACAGGGACAAACTGCGATTTCGAAGAAGATGAACTTCTCTCGTATACCGCAGAATATTGTCCGCGATCTGAAACACACGCTAAAAATATGACTTCCAACTCGGTCTATTTTAAAAGCGGGAAAGGGATACTTATATACGTTTCGTCTCCGATAGACTCTTTTTTTCTTTCTTTTTTTTTTCTTTTCTTTTGTTTCTGTTTTGAAAAGTATCGAATGTCTGTTGCCAGGAGTGTTCTCAACGTTCGAAGAAAATTTTCCATGCACTCTTCTTGTTTTTCTTCTTTCTTTCGTACTCTATTTAAAAATTGAATAACAACATTCTGCATGAATGTTCATGTCTTAATCCGTACGAGAAACAGTTTCAGATTGACGCACAAACTGTGTATCTCATAGTCTGCCCTAACTAGGAAACAAGCTTACGGCGCAGACTATGAAACACCCGCATAATTCCTAATGAATTTTCAATTAAAGCGATTATTTAAAAATACACGTGATTAGAATGAGTCTTACGTATGTTAGAATATATAAGACTTTGTCTATGGTACTCAATGGTAATTTATAAGATCTGTAAGCCAGTATATTAACGAGATACTATTAATGTAAAAGATTATATTATATTTGTTTGTTATCAAAGTATGTGATACATGAATCTCTTAACAGTATTAACAAATCGTATTTAAGAAGAATTTGTATCTTAAAGTATTATTCTTTGTATTTATTTTTTACAATTTATACGCCATAGAAAAAAAAGTATTTTATAACATAAAACAATTTTGTAACTAAGACGTATACGAGGAATATAAAGAATAAAGCGTTTTTACAAACGCTTCTATCTATGATCTTTTGAATTATTTTCATTTCATTGCATCATAAGTCATGATATCAGAAAAATCTTTTTTTCTTTTTAAATCATGAAATAGTTTCAAATATTTCCTGTTCCATTTCACGATTTATATAATCATTAATCAAACGTGATTGTATTTCAATTGTTAATGAACAGTGGAACTTATGTGAAATTATTAACTACATTAAATGTCAGTGTTAAAAAAGCATATTTGGTAAAAGAAAGATCAGCAAACATTTAACTGTAATTGACATAATAACGAAGTGACGTTTTTTCTCAACAGCTGTGGAATGTCCCGATGGACGATATTGTAAGCTATAGTAAATTCTGCCGATCGGCCGAACAAAATACGCTAAAGTTCATTTTGCTTTTTTACAGAGGTGCAGTATTAATAATGGGTGCTGTCACTTTGAATGTGTGGGCGAGTGCTCTTTTGTACGAACCGGTGGAAAAGCACCTGGTGCCAGCTTCGTCGACGAGAAAGTCGAACGACACTGACTTGGAGACCGCCTCGATCACAGTAACTAGTCCCGAAGACGAGAAGCAATTCAATCACGTTGTTTCTACTTTGAACAAGAACGAGAAGGCTGCGCCAATGGTACCAAAGAGCGCGTCCAGCGTCGCGTTAGAATATTACAAAAACACACCAGTGCAAGGTCGAACGAGAAAGATTAGTATGCCCACGGGACGAGAGATCACGGGCCAGATGCACAGCACGCCGGCACTGCACGCGGTTCCTGAACGTGGTGGCGATTATCGATTATCGAGACGTCAAAAATCGCCGTTCCAGTCGCCGAGCACGTCATCGTTTAACTATGTCAGCACGCCGTATCACGGAAGCACGCTTTCCGCTCTGCATCCGGAAAGGGCATCCACGTTAACCTTGAATGCAATATCGAGTACGTTTGCAAGAAAAGGCACGGACGAGACGAATAAAAACGAAGAGAAAGAGAAGATGAACAAGTTCTTCGACTTCAGTTTATTGAAGGATCCAATCTATCTGGTGATTTTGATCTCGAACTCGACGAACGCCGTCAGCTACACGAATTTTGTAATCCTGTTACCCGCGTACGCGATCTCGTTAGGCTTTGAGAAAAACATGTCTTCCCTTCTTCTGTCAACCGTTTCGATCTTAGATCTGATAGGTCGTATCGGGGGCTCTGCCCTCTCTGATGTCTCGATTATGCCAAAGCACTGGTATTTCGTCGGCGGATTGCTCATCTCTGGAATCTCGTTGGCTCTCCTGCCTATAGCCACCAGCTATAGCCTACTGTCAATTTATTGTGGTGTTTTCGGATTAGCATCTGGTATTTACGTCGGTATCACCGCGGTCATCATGGCCGATATGTTAGGAACCGAAAAACTTACTTCCTCCTATGGTATCTCGTTGTTCGTAAACGGTATCATACAACTGATTGGCCCGCCCATTTGCGGTATTGTATACGAACAAATCGGCAGTTACGGCCCCATATTCAGTATCTTAGGTATCATTCTAGTGGTAGGCGCGTCATTGTGGGGGTTCGTTCCGTTTATTAAAAGACGACAAGACACCGCAGAGAAAGCGAGTCCCATTGAAAAGTTATAGTGTACATCCACTTGCCGGAATTGAGTATTTCACGATGGGCAAGAACTTAAATTGTACGATCATTGTATAAGTTAATCTAACGTATATCGCGATAGCGAGAATATAATTATGAAATACTGTGATGTTAGAATGAATGTTATGTATGTATATACCACTGGCACTGTGATGACGTTATATATGATCCACGCGCACATTTTCAGGTGGATTGATAAGGAAACAATTTTAAAAAAAGATATATTTTTAAGAAACATAAAGGTTTCTCTTTTGCCCCGTAAATTGGAAGTATCTTGCCTTATACTTGAAAAAAAACTTATTCTTTGGAAGTACATTCTTGTTGGTACTGACGAAAATACACGGACATAATTAAGTACTTAGTTTAAAGACGCACTATTTGCTGGTGCTATCATAATTAAATAAAGAAAATAAATGCAATAATGAAATTTAGTGCATATAAAATTTTATTAGCGTATGTATAATTGTATAAAAAGGTTGAGTACTTGTACACTTCTCTTAAGAAAGGGATAAGATGCTGTAATTCCTATTATTAGATACACGTAAACATTAAAGATAGGATCAGTCAATTTTGTTATCGATTCAATTTGTTTACAATTCACCGAAAAATATGCCTTAAAATTAGGACATAAGCACTTTGTAATTAATAAATTACGTTTATAATATTATACAATACGTAAAATAAATAACAATACGAAATACGCATACTTCATTTGAAGCATCTTATAGAAAATGAACGGATTATTTATACTATTAAGTTCACTAAACCAACTATAAAAAATGTTATTCTCATACTTCATAACTACTTTATTTTAAAGGGATAAATAATAGTATTATCAATTACTAATATTATTAAATAAGTAGCACTATAAAAACTACAACATGTCCCTTTCAATGTATATTTATAATATGTTACAACAATACAATTTACTTCTTATCCTTAGAAGAACCTGTTTTATTACTTTCATCAGAAGGTGCAATTTGTCGGAAATTAGGAAATTGTTCCCATGGAGCAGATAATTCAAATTTACGAAATTCCTGTGTTAATTCTAGTGGTTCACATACAACTCTCTGTAATTCATCATCATAACGTACCTAAACATAAAAAGGGAACATTTTTTAAATTGCTAACGGAAATATATAAATCTCATTTTACACATAAATTTAAATTATGAAATTACCTCAACAAAACCACTGAGAGGAAAATCTTTCCTCAATGGATGTCCTTCAAAACCATAATCTGTAAGAATTCTACGTAGATCTGAATGACCTTGGAACACTATACCAAACATATCCCATACTTCTCGTTCATACCAATTAGCAGCATCATAGATTGATTCTACTGATGGTATAGGTGTCAACTCATCTGTATATGTTTTTACTCTAATACGTGTGTTGTAAGTAAATGAAAGAAGGTTATAGACAAGCTAGAAATCAAAACATTATAATGCAATATTTATTATGCAAAGTACTAAAATAATAACTTTAATGCAGCTTTACCTCAAACCGATATTTACGAGAAGGAACATCAAGTGCTGTCAAATCTGATAAAGAACTATATTGAGTTGTGTAATTATTTCTTAAGAATAACAATGTTGGAATCAACCCATCTGGGCAAATCATTATTTCAAGCTCATCACCAGCAGTTATTTGAACCTTTTGCACAAATTTTGGTAAATATGCTGCAATAAGTGCACCTAAATCCTTTATTGGTGCCACATCTTTATTTATTTTACGTAGTGTTGGTGCTAAAAAAGTAATTCATTAATGTAAATATAAAACATAAATATACTACACCCTCAAAATTATTGAGAAATAAAAGGGGTTATAAAAATGATGTCAATGAAAATTATTATTTCTACCAATAACATAATGATTATTAAAGATATAATAAACAATAGTTTTACATACGTTGTGCATCAGTAGTTTCTGTTGTCGTAGTATTCATTCGCATCGAAGGAAAAAGCTTCGGATAACCTATTAATTTAGTTCATAATTTATTATATAACGTAAAAAGTGAAAAGTTCAAGAATTATTAAACAAATTTATTTACATTTTTGTGTTGTAATTGGAAAATTTCGTGAGAGTCTCCAACAGTTTTTTAGTAAGGATGACATTTTTATACAAAACTTCTGTTTCTTCCAAAGTAGAAACAGATCCACCTACACAAAGTCACGAAACCCTTGCTACGTAACTACATGTACAGTATCGATATATTTTACGCTTAGGCACCACTTAAGTAATTACTACAAGTATTAAAGGTATTAAAAATAATACTTTGC